AAAAAAAAAAGACTAAGAGAAAAAAAAACAAAAAGAAAGAGTGAATGAAGGCAATAAAAACTTTTTTTTTGTAAAATTACTGAGAATATTTTGTTGTTATATGCCTGTATTTGTTCAAATTTATTTGTTAATGTTATTGTAACTTACTCGTTTCAAGAAAGCGTTTTATATTATATACATAACGCTATATAGGTACTTCTATATACTTTTATTTTACCCCATAGAATATTGTATATAAAATAAAAGCAATCTAACAACAATAAAAAAAAATAAAATATAAAAATTGAGAGAAAAAAAAATAAATAAGTATAGACTTTTATATTGTATAACAGTATATAACTATTGTAATACGTTAGTATTATTGTTATTTTTTCCTAAATTTTAGCACGTGCAACCAATTTACTTAAAAAAATATTGTGTTCTTTTTCCTCTTCTTATATTTAAGAATACCATAGCTGATTATAATGGTACATACGTGCATATATACTTGCAAAAGAATATTAAATATACGTATACATATACATATGTATATAAATATGTTATACATGTACATACTTTATAGTTTAAAAACACTGAAACTGTTTTTTTTTGTTTTTCTTTATCTTTTCAATATGAAATTTTATACTTCCGGTCTTTAATTTTTGTAAAGCTCAACATTTTTTAGTTAATTATTTCATATTTTCAACTGCACCTTTACAATAAAAAAAAATAACATTTTTTTAATGAAAAGAGCACTAAAAACATAATATGGAAAACAAAACAAAGGAAAAAAAAAACATTTTTTTAAGAATTATACAATATTTTAAGAGTGCACTTTTTTCCATAATGACATAAATATTTTTATATATATATATATATATAGATATTATTAACACGAGTAAAAACATGCATTTGACATCAGAAAACAACTTGAGATCTTAATTATTTTAATAAGTAAAAATAAACATTTACATAATTCTTTTTTGTTTTTTGTAAAATTTTCATATTTCACATAAAATTTTGTCAGCTAATTTAAAATTTTTTATAAAATATGCATTTATATATGTAGCATATATATATATATAAAATATGTATTTACGATTTTAAGTAATATCGTAATAAAAATTTCCTTAAAGCAAAAATACAAAATTCGCCGTACAGTATGCAATATTAATGTCATACAGAAAAGACTTTTTGCAAATACGTAATTATATACATACCTTGACTTCCAAAACACAGTGAAATGATAAAATTTACAATGTATCATGTTCCAAAATGTATATTAGAAGCTATTGACATTGTATACAATTCGAATACGCAGTCGAAACGTAAAACAAAAGCAAATCGTGCAACGAATTATCATTTGGAAATTATTTTAGTAATTCCAGCATTTGTTTTCAGAAAAATATATTTTCTGATAAAAAAAAATTTTGAGATTAGTAAAATATTTTAAAATATTTCTGAAAACAACAAAGAAATATGAGAAATCACAAAGGCAAGAGAACAAAAAAGTATTAAAATTAAATTATTAAAAATCTTTTAAAAAATATTTTAGTATTTTTTTTATTATAATTATTTATTTACACGAGATGGGTACTTATTTCAAAAATTTTAACAACAAAAATAATATTTTTTCAAACAAAGATTTATTACATGCAAATTTAACCCTCTGCACTCCGTTGTCGCCGTGTTTGCGACATTATCAGTAAAAGCTCCGTATCAGTAAATCCGCTGTGGCCGTAGCGATGATATGATTGTTTTGCTGCCCCGGCACTCTTAATAGTTAGGTAAGCAAAATAGTCTGTGCTTATCTCATAGTGTTTATGATACGTTTATTATGCTTATATTGTAACAAGAATAAAAAGTGCTCTATTTAAGTTTATTTCGTTACACGTTACACGTTAAATCCACTGCTCATCATAAATGTACATACATATATATACAACTGAGAAAACAGTTACAAATATTATATAAATAGGGGACCCTATTTTACAGTTTTGTGTGTACACAAAACAAAAAATGCAGTCAGAATTTCTTTATAAAAGATGAGACCAAAATCAATTGGTTCATCTTTAGTCGGATAAAAGTTTTAATTTACCAATTAATGTTTTTTTTGTTCCGGGCACTCTCACAAATACTTTATCCGCTCCTGTATTTAAATATCAAAATATTGTAATCATCCCATTTTATTAAAAATTTTTAATTTCTAAAAAAAATTACTTTGCAGACAATCTAATTAAAATTCTATATTTGTCTTTTATTAAACATTTATTTTGAACTTAAGTCAAAAAGCTATAAACATTTTCTTGAGGCAATAAAAAATCAAATAATTTCAATCAAAATCAAACAATACTGTAATTTCTTTTTTTGCAAAAATCTAATTTTTGAATACTTTAATTAAGCATTCAAAACTTTAAACATTCACAAGACCAAATTTTCCAAGATAAAAAAAGTTTTCTTTTTGTTCTTGAAAGATAAAAGTTGGAAAAAACGGTAGGCTCTAGATATTTTTAAATAAAGGGTATAGCATTTACATTTTTGAGTTTTTGTTTATATATATAAAAATTTTGAAAAGACTTCAAGGACAGATTTCGAGAATTTTTTCCCATAAATCCTTAAAAATTAAAAAAATCAGCAAAAAAAAAACTCTACTTTTTCAATTATCATCTAATTAGACAAAACTTAAGTTAAAAATAAAAAGAAAAAAATTAATACTCGTAATCGCCTTGTTGATAAAAAGAAATTTTAAAAAAGAAATTAAAAAGTGAAAATTTTTCTTTAAATACCTAAGTGTATTACAGTTTTGAAATGAAATTGGCATAAAATCAAATGGAATTTATCGTTTATCGTTTATAATGCTTAACAAAATAATAACATGCAATTAATGTGTGTGGGCGCATTTTAAAATCAATTATCACTGTTAAAAAAAAAAACTAAGAAAAATAAATAGTAAATATTAATAACCTCAAATAATTAATATATAAATAAAAACTACGGCAGGCTAGTCACCTACCTAGTTAAACCCTATGACGCTATGAAACTAGTGCATGAGAAATCATGCACTAGCCCTATGCTCCTTCTAGGAGTGAACAAAGGAAAAAAAAAAAAAATCACTGTTATACCAAAAGTTTCCTTCTGATAGGAAACGTGTGTTCTAAATTAGTCGAAAGGAAAGACTTCATTAAGTGTTAACAGCTAAATAACTTATTGCGGTATAGTCTGCAATTGTAGTTGATTGTGTTTTTATAAAAAACGTCCCCAATACTTTAACACAATTTAACCCAATTTAACATTTTAATTTTTAATCTGATATTTGTTCTCGTATTCGGGAAGAAAATTCCTTCAATTATTTATTTGTTTTTCTATAACAAATAGCTTTGTGTAATATTGAGAAATTTTTATTTAGTATCTTATTTTTACATTTAATTGCCTTGAAAATTTTCAAAGAAATTTTTGTTTTTTTCGCTCTGCTAAAAGAAAAATATATATGTATACCGAAAATTAAATAATAAATTTTTGTTAATTGAATTTCTTTTTTTATATAAAAACTTTTTTTTTTACTAAAATATTTATTTAACTTTTTAAAGAAAACACAATAGGAGTAAATTTCTAAGAAAATTATTAACTTTTTCATTTGCCGGATCTAATTTTTTACGAAATGAAAATAAAATTTTTTGTTTATATTTTCCGAAAATCTTAGAACCATAGAATTATTTTTTCAAATTAATTTTTGAATTATTTTTAAGGCCCACCTAAAGTTTTTATAGCAAAATGTTCATTAGAATACCGTTTCAAAACCAATCTGTATGTGAACGCGTGCACACATAAGTATTCAGAAATTTTATTTATTTCTAAAATCCTTTCGCTTTGTTTTCAAGAAAATAAAAAAAATATTTGTACACTTACGTTAATTAGACACCTTAAGATGGATGGCTTGTATCATTTTTTTAGTAGAAGACTTGCATTAAATATTCAAAAATTTTTAAAAATTGAAGCGATAAGTGGACAAAGGGGTTAACTAACATTTTGACGAAAATCGATCTCTTCGGATAGAACATCATTAAATTTCATATACATATTTTCAAACTGTGATTACTCATATAGCTGGAAATTTAATAGAAGGCGAGATTGACAGTGAACATGTGAGTTAAGTAACAAAAAAATTAATACTTTTACAATTTGTTAATGAAAAAATGTGTTAAGATGCAAATGTAAATTAACCCCTTTGTCCACTTACCACTTCAATTGTTAAAAAATTTTTAAAAACTTAAAAATTTGTGACCTATGTTTCTGATTCGTGTGAACTATGTTCGTAGAATATTGTAAATTTGCTCCGTTTGCAATGCTTAGAAATAATTATAATTAAAAAAAAAGGGTTGGAAACTATTTGCATTTATTGTACAAAAATAAATTTTTATAAAAATTAAATAATTATAAATTTTGTATTTTCGACTTTGTATTTTGGGTCTGTAATTCAAAATTTATTCATTTGCTAATGGATTCTATGTATTTTTGTATATATGTACAATGTAAAATAATAAACATTATTCATACATAATTTAGTAGGTTTTTTGTTATATTTTTTTTCAAAATTAAATTTATTCTAATGAGTCTTAACCATAAAAAATTAACAAATCTGAAAAGTTTTTCATCACATTTTTAAATTTATTTACCTTAAATTTATCTATGTATATGTATAAATTATCATCCTTTTTCCAGTTAATACATTAGGGTAACCATATTGTAAAATTTTCGCAATTAAAGTAAAATAAACAAAATTTTTTCAAAATCTCGCAAAATAATAGAATTTATCTTTATGTTAATATAAAATTTTACTATTTAATAACAGCAACAGCTATTCAACTTTTGTTTCTATCCCATTTGGTAACCCATAAAAAATTCATATAATGCTATCATTGAAAATTTTTTCAAAAAAAAAAAAATATTTTATTTTTACAACAAATTTCTATTAAAAAATTCTTTAACTTCATTTATATTTAATTTTAAATTTTTTTTTTCAGAGAGACTGTTCGAAGATCATGAGCTATTAGTTGATAATTTAATGATGTGGAGTCCTGATTCAAAAAATCGTGTCCTTTTCTTACAACGTAATGATAAAGTTTCATTATTTTGTGCACCAGAAAAATATTTACCTGGAACTCAAATGGCTCCCGGAAGTGAACATGATGAACATACTCGTTCAATGTTATTGGATGAATTTTTCAATACTCCAAATGGTGGTGGTAATAGTAATAGTGGTCAAATACAAATGGATGGACCATTATATATGAAAAGTGATTATAAAAAAGCCTGGAAACGTTATCATTTTGTTTTAAGAGCCTCTGGATTATATTATTTTCCAAAAGAGAAAACAAAATCACCTAGAGATTTATTATGTTTAACATTATTTACTGGACATAATGTTTATAAAGGAATTGGTTGGAAGAAAAAACATAAAGCACCTACTGATTTCACTTTTGCATTAAAATCTCCAGCTGAACAATGTACAGCGAAAGCGAGTAGATCTTTAAAAATGTTGTGTGCTGAAGATCCAGAAACTGTTGATAAATGGGTAACAGCAATACGTATTGCAAAATATGGTAAAGCAATTTTTGATAATCATAAAACTTTAGTAGAGGATTTGACCCGTGAGGAATTAGATAAATTTTCAGCAGCTAGAAGTAATTCAATTGGAAGTATAATATCTTCAGTTCCCTCTCAATGTAGTAGTAATATGTCTGTACCACAATCAGCATCTAATGGAAGATTATCTCGTGCATCAAGTTCTAGTTCTAGTGGTTGTTTATCTGATGATAATAATGGTTTTGATTCAGAATTTACTACTGGTACTATTAAAAGAAAACCATCAATGAAACCAAATTTACCCTTAACATCGATGACAAGACAACTTAAAGAAGTTGGTGAAACTACAGTTGTTGGTAATGCAAATGGTGATATTAGTAATCCAACATCACCTGAGCGTGGCGGTACACTAACAAGACGTCACAGTCGACGAAGAAGCGAAGAAAGTAATAGTAGTGGAACACTTAAACGTCGTCAGCCACCAACTCGTGGCTCTATAGAAAGTATGAACTCATCAAATGCTTCAACACCTACACCGACACCAAGCACTCCAGGAACTCCATTAGCTACACAAGCTAATATAAACAGTTCATTACTAAGTCCACTTGAGCAAATGCCTTCCAATATGACAGATTCTATGTTTTCACTTCCTCCACCACCACCTGAGGAAGTAGATGCTTCAATGAGTGCGTCAACATTTTCATTAGATTCGCTGCCTCCGCCGCCACCTCCAAATGAATTAATTGATGGAAAAGAATTATCGGGTTCACAAATGTCATTAGTTAGCCTCCCTCCACCACCACCAGAAGTAAAGCCCGTGATATTGATTCAACAGCAGCATAAACAACAACAATCACCAATTAAAGTTCCGACAACAAATAACGTTCCTGAACCGCCAAAAGAAATTAATGCAACTCAAAAATTAATTTATAACAGTAAAACGTTGCCAGTGGTCACAATTGATAATAAAAAGGAAATCTCCTCGCCAGTAGCTATATCAAAAACAATGAAACCAAGTATAAAAGCTCCACCATATAAATCACCACCAGCTTATAATGGTAATGGTCCAACACCTGCATTGAAACCATTAACAAATTCAGTTTCATCGCCATCAACGCAAAAAAGTGTTTCATTTGCTGATTCTCCAGTACTTTTAAGAAGAAAAGTTTGTTTTGAGGATCAAGTTCAACAACAACAAATACACCCGCAACAATTATCACCAAGAAAAACATTATCAAATACAACAAATTCTAATGCACCATTACCACCACCACGAGCTGAAGCTACAAGATTATCAACAAATTTAACTTCACCAAAACGATTATCCGATTCGACATCAAATCCGCCCAGAGATTTTTTGAAAGATTTACAAAGAGTTATGAGAAAAAAATGGCAAGTTGCACAAAAATGTAAATTAGAACCAGCAACAACGCCCCATGAAGTTTTAGGTTTTAGAGATTTTAATGATGAACTTGGACTTGGTCCAAATCATCAATCACATTTTTATAGAGAAACAGCAAATGTTAGTAATTGGGTGCAAGAACATTACGGTAATATGACAAGTAATAATACACCGAATGAATATGCTCTTTATGAGAATTTAGGTAACGATATCAATATGATAGATCAATATAATGGTGTTGCACATCAATCAATAATAGTTCCAATAAAGAAAAGACCTCCACCACCTCCACCTAAAAGGAGTGAATCAACGCAACTAACACATAGAGCATAGATAAAATAAAATATATAATATATTATTAACGAAAATTACAATAATAATAATAACTTGAAAAATTAACAGATAATGAGATTTTAAGGTAAATTTGAAATTTTTTTTTATTTTTTACTATTAGAATTTTATTTAAAAATTCTGTTTTTATAATTTTATATTTAATTATTATTGATTATTATTTCTGTTATTTTCTTTTTAGTAATTTTTTATGTGCAAAAATGAATAACTATCAGACTGAAGAAAATGTTAAACATATTTTATGTATTCGAAGTACATAATTAAATATTTGCCAAATTGTTCACACATCTTATACAACTTCCAGCTAAATAGAACTACAACTTCTAGATTTTTATTTGACTATACAGAACGAAATTTAAATGTTATACATAAATAGTACATCCAGTATTGTAATTAAAAGTAAATAACAATCATTTTTTATAATCCAATTGATGTCAAAAAAAAAAAAATATCCAATTGAAATTTTATGTAATTGCAAAAAATATGTTAATGGAGTACATTACTAAATAATAATATAAACATATATACATATACATAAAATAAAATTAAAAATACTAATGTAAAAAATACAACAGTAAAATTTTTGCCTTTAAATTTGTTAGCTTCAAATAATCATCATTAATTATTGTGAGATTTAATGCCAAACTTTATTCTTGAAAATATTTTAAATTATTAAATTGATCCGTCAATAAATTGGTTTTCAAATTTTTAATTATAAATGTATTTGTAAACTTGCTATTATGTTTACTTGTATAATATACTCATTATGGTTGTAAAATATATTAAACATTTTAATTTCAATGCATTTGTAAAAACTTTTGTATATATTATAACTATAAAATTAACTTATCATTAATTATTTATTTTGCTTAAAATTTAAACACTTAAGAAAACATTTTTCCTCAAATTTTTTTTATAAATTTACTACAAATAGAATTTTAAATATCAATTTTATATTATACAAAGAACAAAAAATTGATTTGTGTTATTTATTTCAAACAATTATTCCTTTATTTATTTTCAAATTAATTTTCAAATTTTGTTTTAATTATATCCAATAGTTCTAAATTATATTTCATTCAAAAATTTCATATATAAATTTTAAAATTTAATTAATTTTAAATATTGGATTTGACATTAAATTTCACAAAATATCTTCAGCTGATTATAAAATATTATATTTGCATTTATAAAAATTTTTTAAATAAAAATAATAATAAAATTACTGTTAATTAAAAAATTATTTTTATTATATAAAAATTTAGCAAAAACATAAAAAAAAAAGAAAATAATTAAAGAACAAAGTCGAAAATGTGATCAAAAATATTTGTTAAGCTTAAAAAGAATAAAGCAGTTTTTTTTTCTAACTCTTATCATTATTAGCGCATGTATTTTTAGCTATTTTAGATTTAAAAGCTTCTAAATACAAAAAATGTTATATAACAAAAAAAAATAAAAGTATATTAATTTGTTTTTTTTTATTTATTTTATAAATTTTTTATTTTTTACTTATACATACATACAAATAAATCTCGTATATATTATATAAAAAAAAAAGAAAATCAAATTAATTAATTTAAAAATCAAAATAATTTTTTTTCAATTATTTCAAGATGTGCATATTTTGTTATAGATCGTAAATGTTTATTATACCTTATTTTTATAACTGTAATTTCGTTATAATTAATGGTTTACCAATAATTAATAATTAATTAATTTATAATAAGTTTTTTTTTTATATTACCTTCAAAACAATATTAAATGTAATCAAACTTTAAGTATATTTTGCTTTCTATTACTCCTACAGATTCGTATGTAATTGACTAGTAAAATTTTAATAAAAATTTTAAGAATTGAAAAAAACAAGTAAATTAAATTTTAATTAATTGAATTTCCCAATAAATACGAATTGTTAGACGTTATCATTTAGCTTTCATTTAATTTTGATTCATTTGAGTGTTAACAATTTTTATTTTTATCGTTTAAATTGGTAAATAAATAACTTTTGTTTTTTTGTCTAAAAACTTAATTTGTCGAAATTATTTAATTGAAATGCAAAAACGCAATTATTTCTTGTCATGTATGATTTTCATTATTATGAAAAATAAACAAAATTATCAAAAATACACCATTTACCAAAAAATTTTTATCCCATATTATAAATATATAATATCTACAGAAATTTCAAGATTTTTTTAAATGGAAAGCAAAATATCATTGAGAAGAAGAAATATTGTAAAAAATTTTATTGTTTTTGTTTATGTTTTTGTTTTTTGTCTTTGACAAAATCATAAAACTTTTAATTAATGCATTTATATTGTGCTACTTTTTTTTTTACTTAAATAAAATATCATACATTTATTTGTGCATTATTTTCACATATCATTTTTAATTTATACATGTATTTTTTTTTGTGTAATAATATCGTAAATAGAAAAATTAAAATATCTTAATTTTTCATTTATAATTTATAATTATTTTAATATTATTTTGTATTAAAAAAAATGGTGCCATAACGGCTTTATAATTAAAATAATAATTAATTATGAATATATAATTAAAACATAAAATTGAATTATACAAACATTTTTTGAAATTTAATACGAAATGTTCTCTCATTTTAGATAACTTTCAATACAATTTTTTTAGTAAAATAAAATTTTTATAAAGTGTAGTATTTGTAATATAGGTATTTTTATAAATAATTTTTGAAAATTAAATTTGTTAAATAAAAATAACTAAAAACCTATTTTACATTATAACTTCTTTATTTATAATTACTATATTGTAATATCCTTATTGTATGGTATAAACTAAATGAATGATGTTATTAATATAGTAATATATTTTTACAAAATTGTCAACTGAAACTAGTACAGAAACTTTTTCCAGTTTATCCAAGTAAATTATTTCAATTTTATAAAATATTGAAAATAATTTTATATCGTTTTCATTAAATATGTAAAACAATAAAAATGTAAATTAATAACATCATCTTACAATATGAATTGAAATTTTTTGGACAATATTGCCTTTAATAAAATGCATCCACGAAAGCGCACGAAATCTAATACAAAATATTGTCAGCTAATAAAGAATTAAAAAAAAAAATCGTTTCATGGTTTAAAGAAAATCTAATTTCAACAATTCATACTTAATTATTTAAATTAGCAGATGATATCTGTAAACAACATTTTGTGAATTACATAATACCATACAATTTAATAATGTTTTATAATTAACAATATTAATAATATAAAAACTTTCTAGACAACAATTATATGTAATATCATGAGAATAAAAAAATTATTTTATATTTTAATAAAAAATATGTAAAATAGGTTTTTAAACTTATACTAAAACAAATTTTCGCTAATATAAAAATTTTTTATTTCATCAAATCATTTTAATCCAAAAAAATTCAAATAAAAGAATATTATAAAAGAAAAATTTCAAAAACTAAACTGTGCTAGAAAAATGTTTAAAAAACACATAATTTTAAAATTAAATAAAAAGAAAAAATATTATAAAAAAAAATTAAGAAAAATTTTTAAGTAAAATTATAAATATTTATATATATTTATATTAAAAACAAAATTAAATAAATTGGCATTAAAATAACATTTCGTTTTAGAAAAATATTTTAGAATTTACTTACACATAAATTTACAAAATATTTAAAATTAATTGGTTTAATTTCTTTAAATTAATATTATATCATTAAAAAAAAACAAATTCTTGAAGTAAATTTTTAATTGTACTATTTTTCTTTTATAAATTCAAAATATATAAAATATAAATTTTTTTCTTTAATTTTTTGAACAAACAAAAGTAGAAAATACTTAAGAATTTTTAATATTTATATAAAAAAAAGCAACAAGCAAAAAAAAAATAAAACAGTAAACAAAGTAAATGTACCATAAAAAAATAAAATATTATATAAAAAAAAATAAAAAAAAAAATAAATTTAGTAATAAAAATAATTAATTAATTAAATTAAATAAAAAAACATTTGAAAAGAAGAAAAAACCAAATTGGTGCTTTTTAATATTTAAGTGTAACTTTTACAAAAACAAAAAAAAATATATATGAAATGAAAAAAAAAGAAATAAATTTAAATAAACAAAAAATAAAACTAGTAAAATAATATTAAAATCTTTAATAAAATCATTTAATGTAATGCTTTTATTAAATATCTTTATACTAAAACACAAATATAACACAAATTTTTTAATTTACACTCAAAATATAAGCAGAAAAATCTAATAATTGAAGTTATAAATAAAAAAAAAATTACAAAATTAATTATTAAAAACAATACAAATTCAAAAACTATAATGAATAAAATGGTTTCTTAATAAAGCTCCAATCAATTATATTTAATTCACTTTATATTTGATTTTGGAATCGTATACAATTTTAACAAAGCAATATGGAAAGCTGCATTAAACCCATATAAGATTATAAAGGAAATGTTAGAGACAATTTGTTATTCTAAAAAAATTTCAAAAAATAAATTTCAGAAAGTTCAATCTTATCGGACTTAATCGACAATTAATATTTTAATTCAATTAACAAATTAGTACTGACCGTACTTATAAGGTGTTTAAACTTAAAATGAAAAATCGCAATAAATTCTTTTTTGATTAACGATATTTTATACAATTCATAATATAATTCTATATATTCATTATTATCTGCAATAATTCTAAATATAAAATAAAATTTTTATATTTAGAATTAAGTATTGCAAACAAATTTGTTTCAAATTTATAGAATTTCTTATATGCAATAATAAAAACAATTTATTATCCTTATGCACATTCAATGGAATCATTGTAATTAAAATCAATAAAAATACAAAAAAAAAAATATAATGTTTGAAAATTCGATTTTGAAAATTTTTTGAATTTGCTACGCCGAATTACACCTTTATTATATGTACATTATATTTATTAATATAATATATATGTACATATATTTATTAATATAATAAATACACCAATTAATAAAGGTTATATACATAACAAAATAACAATTGTAAAGTGAATGTTTTTATTCTTGAAATAAATTATTATTTTAAAGTACATTTATATATGTATATACGAATAACAAATAATTTTCATAATTTATAAATTAATATAAAACTTCATTAATATAATATATATAATTAATATTATTGTGATAATTGTATTTATTACAAAATTTTTACTACTTAATTATTATACGTTTTAATAATTAAGTATAATATAATATGATCAAAAACACTGCCTAATAAAAAAAATTTTATATAGTAAATAAATAAATAGATTAAGAATGAATTTCAGAAAATTTTAAAAATTCTATGTATTCTATGAAAAATATCGCTTAATC